CAAGAAGTCCTGTTGATCGACGGCACAGCTTAGCTGAGACGGCCGCAGAGAAATCTTGTTGCTTGATTGCCAGAACCGCTGCCGAGTTAACAAGAACAGAACTGCCGGTTGCCAGAGCTGTCGTCGTATTGACTGCACAGAACTGCCGTTTGCCGGGACTGTTGCCGAGTTGACATCACAGAACCGCCGATGAGCACTATTAATTGCAAATGAGACCTCCCCGTGACCTTCCTAATTTGGTTGAACCTACAGTATAGCTCCAGGGGATCCCATCGCTAAGCCACATTATTATCAGCGAGATTCATTAGTTATTTTTTTTATGTTAAACTCCTGCGATGCGTACTTTGTCTCTATTTTAAATTCATAACTTATTGCAATAATATAGCAATTATATTTGCATATTATGTTATTTTATTTCTGAAATATTGAAGTTATAAGAATATAACGTCCCTGCTTAGGAAAAATTTGTTTAAACTGCTAATTTCATAATTATTATAGTGATGGTAAGAAAATGCTCTCTAAATTAAAGATATTTTTGCAATTAAATTAAATTGCAACATATTTCATTCATTTCAGAAAAGGTCTGGACGTACAACTTCAATATATGTCATATGGGACACATATGGACACCTGTTTACAGACTTATACTTTAGTGCTGATACGTTAGCTGGGGCACATTATGATTATTAAAGAGAGGCCCATCTCATTTATTTTAGATTTCAAGATACACCCGACGGGCATTTGTTCTCCATTTCAATCGTACAATTTCAAAAATACGTTATTCTCTTCCGGGGATACCTGGGATGCGCGAACAGGAATTTCCCGTAAGGTAACTGGGAAATTTGGTACTTCTACATACCTTGTGATTAAAAAAAGTGAGGGAATTTAGGGTGCCCTCTAAATTAAACGTATTATTCCATGTCAAATTCCTCTTTAATATATCTGATTAAGGCTGCATGTGTCATGTAGGATACGTAACGTATTTGCAGACATTAATCTTATGGGTGCTACGTCAGATAGGGGTCATTATGATTATTATATAGAGACATCGATTTATTTTTATGTCAAGTTAATTCGACGAATATAATATTTGCTCCATATCTTAAATTAACAATCTCAACAATAAAGCATTTTATTTCGGAGATATTGAGCATGCGTGAACAAATGTTGCCAGCGTTGTTACGGGACAATTTGATACGACAGTAATGTTAACATTTGGCTAGTGGCTATGTGCTCTCTAGATTATTGTAACAGTATTATTGGAACAAAATGTGATTTTAATTATTTGATAAAGACTAAAGATAGAGCTACTTATGTCACGGAGCTAGATAGGACAATTGTAGGTTACACCGAAAACATTCTCTTGGCTGGCAACGCGATCAGCGATGCGAGCGCCACTCGTATGTATAAATTAAGGACTGTGGCCTGATGCTGCGGCCAAAGTAAATTATCTAGGGCGGATTTTACCATGTACATCTTTTACGGGCATGCCCCTATCCATTTTGAGCGCGTAAGTTTGGCCGAAAGAAATGATCTTGGTTGGCAACGCGACCAGTGGCGTGAGCGCTATTCCTAGGTACAATGACATAGGGGAAAGATTGTGGCGAGATGCTGCTGTCAAAGTGAATTGTTTAGAGCGGATTTTACCATGCACATCTCTCCAATTAGGCATGCCCCTGCTTTTTGAGCGCGTACGTTTTACCGAAAGAAATTATCTAGACTGGCGACGCGACCAGTGACGCGAACGTCATTTCTATGTACACTGGGATAGGCGAAGAATTGTGGCGGGATGCTACTACCAAAATCCACATTAACCCTAGCCGTAACCCTATATTAACCCTAACCATAACTCTGACATTAAACCTAATATTAAACTTAAGTCTGCTAAACATAACCATAACCTAATTACATCCCTGATTCTAACAATCCATAACCGCAATTCTTCAATAACCCTAACCCTGATCATAACGCAACCCTAAGTTTTCCCTTTGCTGATAATAGTTTTAACAGTAAATTAAACCAAGCAAAACTAAATCTTACGTCTTATCATAAGGCCCACACACAGATACGCGCACCCACGCACACGCGTATATATATATATATATATATATATATATATATATATATATATATATATATATATATACTATATATATATAGTAGTAGTACGAAGTACGTAGTACGTAGTACGTAGTACGTACGTCGTACGTACGTACTAGTACTAGTAACGTTAGTAGTTCCGTAGT